AAATGGTATTGTTTTCCTGATTTCCTTTTCATCATTCTCTTTATTGGTGTATAGGACTCCAGCTGATTTTTTTGTGTTTATCTTGTATCATGCTACTCTGCTGAATCTTTCTATTGGTTCCAGTAAATTTTTCATGGAGTCTTTAGGGTTTTCTCTGTGTAGTATCATATCAACCTCAAATAGGGACAGTTTTACTTCTTCATTACCAATTTGGATGCCCTTGATTTCTTTTTCTTACTTTATTGCTTTAGCTGGGACTTCCAGCACAATGTTAAATAGGGGTGGAGATAAAGGGCATCCTTGTCTTGTTCCTGTTTTCAAGGGGAATGTTTTCAGCCTCTCTCCGTTAAGAATGATGTTGGCCATTGGTTTTGCATAGATGCCCTTTATTATATTGAGAAATTTCCCTTCTATGCTTATTTTATTGAGAGTTTTTATCAGGAATGGGTGTTGGACTTTGCTGAATGCCTTTTCTGCATCAGTTGAGATGAGCTTGTGATTCTTTTCTTTCCGTTTATTTATGTGGTGGATTACGTTGATTTTTTAATGTTGAACAATCCTTGCATACCTGGTATGAATCCTACTTGGTCATGGTGTATTATTTTTTTGATATGATGCTGAATTCTATTGGCTAGAATTTTGTTGAGAATTTTTGCATCATATTTATGAGAGATACTAATCTGCAATTTTCGTTTTTGCAGCATCTTTGTCTGGTTTTGGTATCAGGGTTATGCTGACTTCACAGAATGAATTTGGAAGTGTTGCTTCTTTTTCTATGTTCTGAAATAGTTTTTCATAGTACTAATATAAGCTCTTCTCTTAATGTTTGGTAGAATTCTCCACGGAAGCCATCTGGGCCAGGGCTTTAAAATTTTTTTTTTTATTGTACTTTAGGCGAAGGTTTACAGAACAAATAGTTTCTCATTACACAGGCCGTAGACATATTGTTTTATGACATTGGTTAACAAACCCACAACGTGTCAAAACTCTCCCTTCTCGACCTTGGAGGACTTTTTTTCTTTTTGGGTGAAACTATACATACCCAAAGACACACCATTTCAAAAATTTCTACACGTACAATTCAGTGACATCAATTACATTCTTCCAGTTGTGCTGCTATTTTCACTATCCTTTTCCAAATTATTCCATCACCATTATCTTCAACTCACTGCCCACAGGCTTCCCATCAAAACTTTTCAGTTGCTGTTGTCAATTTGATCTCACATAGAGAATTCTTTTTTTTTGTACTCTAAATGAAGGTTTACAGAACAGAATAGTTTCTTGTTAAACAGTTAGTACACATGTTGCCCTATGAAAATGGTTAACAACCCCACGACATGTCAACATGGTCCTTTCTCAACCTTGGGTTCCCTATCACCAGCTTTCCTGTCCCCGGCTGAACAGTGAACCTCAGGGGTGACTTCACCACTGAGCTAAAAGGGTGTCTGGGGGTCATACTCTCGGGATTTCTCCAGTCTGTGTCAGACCAGTAAATCTTGTCTTTTTTGTGTGTGTTAGAACAGGGCTTTTTTTGTTGTTGGGAGTTTTTTTTTTAATTACCTTTTCAATCTCTTCTATTGTTATGGGTCTGTTAAGATTTTCAACATCACTCTGGGGTAGTTTGTGTAGGTAATGTGTTTCTAGAAATTTATCTATTTCCTCTATGTTTTCAAATTTGTTCAAGTATAGTTTTTCATAATACTCTGTTATGATCCTTTTTACTTCAGTTTGGTCTGTTGTAATGTCCCCCAGTTCATTTCTTATTTGGGTTATTTACATCCTCTCCTGTTTTTCTTTTGTCAGTCTGGCCAGTGGTTTGTCCATTTTGTTGATCCTTTCAAAGAGCCAACTTTTGGTTTTGTTGATTCTATTCTTTTTCTATTCTCTATTTCATTTATTTCTTCTCTGATCTTTATTATTTCCTTTTTCTAGTGGCTGTGGGCTTTTTTTGCTGTTCTCTTTCTTCTTGTTTGAGTTGTGTAGTTAATGTTTTGATTTGGTCCCTTTCTTCTTTTTTGATGTGTGCATCTATTGCTATGAATTGTTCTCTGAGGACTGCCTTTGCTGTGTCCAGAAGGTTTTGGTATAATGTGTTTACATTCGCATTTGATTCTAGGAATTTTTTGATTCCATCTCTGATTTCTTCTGTTACCCAGTGGTTTGTAAGCAGGCTGTTATTCACTTTCCATGTAACTGATTTTTTTTCCCTTGCTATTCCTGTTGTTAATTTCTACCTTGAGGGCATTGTGGTTAGAGAAGATACTTTGAATTATCTCAGCATTTTGGATCTTGTTGAGGATTGCTCTGTGGCCTAAGATGTGGTCTGTTCTGGAGAACAATCCATGTGCATTGGAAAAGAATGTATACTTTGCAGCTGTTGGGTAGAGTGTTCTATATCTGTCTATGAGGTCAAGTTGGCTGATTGTGCCCTTTAGGTCTTCTGTATCTGTGCTGAGTTTCTTTTTAGATGTTCTGTCCTTTACCGAGAGCGGTGCATTGAAGTCTCCTACTATTAATTTGAAACTGTCCATTTCTCTTTTCAGTGCTCTTAGAGTTTGTTTTATGTATTTTGGAGCCCTGTCATTGGGGTGCGTAGATGTTTATTATAGTTACGTCTTCATGAAGGATCATCTCTTTAGTCACTATATAGTGTCCTTCTTTTGTCTTTCATGGTGGATTTTGTTTTAAAGTCTATTTTATCTGAGATTAGTATTGCCAGTCTTGCTCTTTTTGGTAGCTGTTTGCTTGATATATTTTTTCATCCTTGATTTTTAATAAATTTATATCTTTGTCTCTAAGGTGTGTCTCTTGTAGACAGTGGATCCTGTTTTTTTAATCCATTCTGTCACTCTCCATCTCTTTATGGGTGCATTTAGGCCATTTATGTTCAGTGTAATTATTGATAGGTGTGAGTTTACTGCTGTCATTTTGTAGTGCTTTTTTTGGTGGTGCTGATGTTTTATTTGTTTCTCTTACTCTCCTGTGCTGAATTCCTTTTGTTTGTGGGGTTTTTTTTAAATTTGTTTTTGTAAGTTTGTTTTTAGTGAAACTTTATGTTTTTTTTCTTTATTTTGATGAGTAGGTTTGTTAGCTTTGTAGTTACCTTGAAATTTAACCTTATCTTCCTAGATTTGAACAGTCTATTATTAGATGGTATTGCCTTGCCTTCATCTCCATTAGAAGGTTCTATACCTACACTCTTTATTCCCTCTTTTATTGTTCTGATGTTGTTGTCATTTACAGATTAACCTTTCTGGTTCCCTGTTGTAATTCTTTTGGTTTTGGATAGTCCTTGAGAGTTCATTTCCTAGGTTGGTATCTAGCTGGTATGATCCTGCATTCTAGATTCAGCCTGTGGTCTTACATTGTTTGTTCTCAGGTCGAAGTACTCAGTTTAATAATTCTTGTAAGATTGGTTTGGTTTTTACATAGTCCCTTAATTTCTGTTTATCTGGAAATGTCCTAATTTCAGCATCATAGTTGAACAAGAGTTTTGCAGGGTATAGTATTCTTGGCTGGCAATTTTTTTCTTTCAAGCTTTTATGTATGTCATCCCACTGCCTTCTTGCCTGCATGGTTTCTGCCGAATAATCCAAGCTTAGTCTTATTGGTTCTCCTCTGTATGTGACTTCTTGTTGTTCTCAAGCTGCTCTCAGTATTCTTTGTTTGTCTTTGGTTTTAGGGAGTGTGATTATGATATGCCTTGGTGATTTTCTTTTGGGATCTATGGGGTTCATTGAGGTTCTTGGATGGCCAGCTTTTCATCTTTCATGATATTGGGGAAGTTTTCTGTCAGCAATTGTTCAATGGTCCTCTCTCTATTTTCTGTTTTCTTCCCCTGTTCTGGAACTCCAATCACTTGTAAATTTTTGCTTTTGATTGTATCCCACATAAAATTCTCAGGCTTTCTTCATTTTTCTTTGTTCTTTTTTTCTGATTTTTTTCTCAGAGTTGTATCCAAGTGTTTGTTTTCAATTTTGCTGATCCTGTCTTCCATCTTTTCAAATCTGCTCCTCAGCCCTTCTATGACACTGTCAGTTTCTGAAATCTTATTGTTTATCTTTTGGATTTCTGATTGTTGTTTTTGTATGATTTCTAGTTGTGAATTTATTTTAGCATTTTGTTCCTGTATTATTTTCCTGAATTATTCCATTTTTTTGTCTATATTTTCCCTGAATTTGTCTGCCTTTTCCATGAATTTGTTTTTCCTCATTTTTGTCTGCTTTTTGCTTCAACTCTTGCATAACTCTGAATATTAGAGATTTGAATTCCCTATCAGATAGTTTTAGTATCTTTTCTTCTACTGGAAAGTCATGTGGTGTTTTATTTTGGACACCTACTGGAACCATCCTGTCCTGTTTTTGTAAATGTTTTGATATTGTCTGCTATCTTCAGCACATTCAGTAGTTATTTTTCTTGTTTATTGATTATAGATTTGTTTGTTTCATCCTGCTTTTTTGCTTTATTTGGTTATGTCTGAGCAGGAGGGCCCTGTGTTCTTTGTTGTTTGCTTGTCTGTCGGCACGATACTTTTCACCTCCTTCTCCAGTGGGCAGGGTCAGTCGCTCAGGTATGGTATAGCAGGGCAGGTCCAGCTGAAGGGGAGTTGCTGGTATGGGTTGTTTGTGGCACGTACTTGGGCCTACAGGGCAGGCTGGGAAGCAATGCAGGGAAGGTTCTGGTAGGCCGTGCCTGTGCTACTTGGGGGTGTGATGCTCAGCACATGGTGCAGGTAGGCAGGAAGGATAGAGGAGACTGTGATGTGTGGAGCTAAGATGGGTATGGGTAAGGGGAGAGAGGAACAGAAAAATAGGGAACTCTTCACAAATTTGTATGTCATCCTTGCACAAGGGCCATGCTAATCTTCTCTGTATCATTCCAGTTTTAGAATATATGCTGCTGTGGTGAGCACACCTGGGCTTCTCTTTGAGTTGTACCTGGCAAATGTTGTCTAACTTAGCTCTGGGTGTGTCCACACTGTACCTCTATCTTCTATTGGGAAGTCTGTGGAGGTGCCTTTCTGTGTGCAGAGTTGTTGGCTTTATTCCATGATGGTCACACTGAGTCATGCCATTTGGCTGGGAACCTCCATTCTGTATCTCCACTCCTTTGCCATTTTCTATCAGTTTCTTCTTCTCAGTGGCTTCCAATCTAATACTTTATCCCTTCATTTAAGGTTCAGGGTTCCAGTATTGACGTCTGTATCTGCTTTACTTGATATTTTGGGTCTTTGTTGCAGCAGGAGGCTTAGCACATCTGACTAGTATGCCATCTTGCGGAAATAGCTCCATTGTTTGATTTCTTGACTGCTACTTCCATGGACATAGATTGTGGCTCCAAATAAAATGAAATCCTTGACAACTTCAATCTCTTTTCCATTTATCATGATGCTGATTATTGATCCACTTGAGAATTTTTGTTTTCTTTATGTTGAGGTGTAATCCATACTGAAGACTGTAGTCTTGGATCTTCATCAGGAAGTGCTTCAAGTCCTCTTTAGTTTCAGCAAGCAGTGTTGTGTCATCTGCATATCACAGGTTGTTAATCAGTGTTCCTCCAATCCTGATGCCATGTTCTTCTTCATATAGCTCAGCTTCTCAAATTATTTGCTAAGCATACAGATTGAATAAGTATGGTGAAAGGATACAACCCTGATGCAAACCTTTCCTGACTTTAAACCATATAATATCCCCTTGTTCTGTGTGAACTACTGACTCTTGGTCTATGTACAGTTTCCTCATGAGAACAATTATTTGTTCTGGATTTCCCATTCTTTGCAACTTTATCCATAATTTTTTCTAATCCACACAGTGGAATGCCTTTGCATAGTCAATAAAACACAGATAAACATCTTTCTGGTATTGTCTACTTTCAGTCAAGAGCCATCTGACATCAGCAATGATATTCCTCATTCCATGTGCTCTTCTGAATCTGGCTTGAATTTCTAGCGGTTCCCTGTTAATGTACTGCTGCAACAGTTTTTGAATGATCTTCAGCAAAATTTTACTTGTGTGTGATATTATTGGATAATTTCTGCATTCTGTTGGAACACCTTTCTTTGGAATGGGCGCAAATGTAGATCTCTTCCAGTCGGTTGGCAATGTAGCTGTCTTCCAAATTTCTTGGCATAGGCAAGCGGGCGCTTTCAGCATTATATCCATTTGTTGAAACATCTCAAGTGGTGTCAGTCCCTGGAGCCTTTGTTTTTGCCAGTTGCAAAAATCGAGTTGTGATATTGAAGGATTGTATGGGCAAAATGTTGAGCTATGCAGGAGGCATCAAAATAAGATGGAAATAATACATAGGGTCACTGTATCAAAAAGGATTGATCAATGTTCAACCGTTTCAGTAAGTAATGGTCCTTAAGAGCCATTATAAAATGGATTGTGTGGACTCCCCAGGGAAGCTCCACAGACAACATTTACTACTTTAGAGCTCTAGAAGGCTCACTTTTTGTGGTTGTTGTTCAAGATGGACTTAAGTAAGAAAATACGTCTCTTTTCTCAACTCTGATTCTATTTTGTTCCCAACCTAACAATATGTGATATAGAAGTTTGCCTGTCTTTTTCTCTAACAAAAGGTGTATCCTGGGTTAAAACATTAATCCATATTAGCAGGTTTTAGGAATGCGTGACCCAGCATAAAAATTTTAATACTAGGACTATGGGAGACATCTGGGTAAAGAAGGCAAAGTGAAAATGGATCATAGAATGTCTCTTCCATGATACTTAATAAAATGAACAAGTTTAAAAAGCAAAAATGAATAATACAAAAAAATTTTTTTTAATTACTAGTAGGTTTTAAACACTAAAAAGGACATCACCCAATACCACAAACATCAAAACATTGTGGCTAAAGAAGAATATTCTGGCACAGCCTAACTCTGATTCCGTATACATCCTCCTGAAGGTGGTGCTATTAATTGAATATGCTCAAATTTGGAGATAATATAATTGAAGGGATGTCTTTATACTTTCTCTCTCTTACTGGGATCACAGAAGTGGAGATAGGGAGGAAGTGAGCAAAGAGTGCTAACTCTGTTGGAAGTGAAGCTTCCATAATTTTTATACTGGGGTGTTGAACAGAGTGAAATGAATTTATCCTGATTAGGCAGAAGAAGAACAGATTCACGGTTTTCTAAAAAAGACTTTACTCAGAATCGTCTGATCCTTGCATATCTACCACACCTCTCACCTTCTGGCTATAGAAATACAGGTAGATTACAAAATGCATAACCCTTAGACTATGACTGGTAATTAAAAAACACACACATATGCACAAAGACACACACACTTGGGAAGGGGGTCACAAAAAATGTTATCTAGAAAATTTTCTTATTAATACTGCCTTTATTAGGTATCAAGGTTATGCATAGCCCTCTCTCTTTTCAACAAAAATTATTAGTTTAAATTTACTGTGGTTTATTGATTTCTTTACTTTCTTATTCTTCTTTCATTTCAGACCTCTGTTATACGGTCATTTTCCTTCATTCTAAGATACATATTTTAGAAGTCCTGTTAGTGAAGGACTGCTCCTACAAAGCATCTCACTTTGTGTGTCCATTAACATATATTTGTAATTATTGTCTTATGCACTTGCCTTTAAAATACCATATATAAAAAAGAGGTGTTACAAACCAACAGTACATTAACTCTGGCTTTTATATTTACCTATGTGGTTACCTTTATCAGTGTGCTTTATTTCTTCTTATGTTTCAAGTTACTTTCTCATGTCTTTTCATTTCTGCCTGAAGGAATTCCTTTAATATTTCTTGTAGGGCAGTCTACTGGTAAAGAACTCCCTCAGCTTTTGTTTTTGTATTAAGAGTGTCTTAATTTCTCCTTCATTCTTGAAAGATAGTTTTGCCTGGTATACAATTCTCGTTTGACTTTTTTTTTTTTCCTTTCAACACTTTAAATAAGTCATCTCATTGCCTTCTGACCTCCATGGTTTCTGATGAGAAATCAGCTGTTAATCTTATTGAGGATCCTTGTTTAAGATAAATTGCTTCTCTCTTGCTGCTTTCAAGATTCTATCTTCTTCTTCTTTTTTCAAAAAATTGACTGTAAGTGTCTTGGTGTGTATCTCTTTGAGTTTATCCTGCTTGAATTTTGTTGAGCTTCTTGGATGTGTATATTCATGTCTTTCATCAGCTTGGAGAAATTTTCAGTCATTATTCTTTCAGATAGTTTTTCTGCCCCTTTCTCTCTCTCTTCTTCTTTTGGAACTCCTGTGTTGTGTATGTTGGTGTGCTTGATGTTGTCCCATAGGTTCCTCAGGTTTTGTTCATTTTTCTTCATTCTTTTTTTCTTTTTGTTCCTCCAACTCAATAGTTTCGATAATCTTACCTTCATAGTCACTAACTCATTCTTCTGCCTGCTCTAATTTACTGATAAACCCTTCTAGTGAAATTTTGATTTCAGATATTGTACTTTTGAGCTCCAGAATTTCTGCTTGTTTCCCTTTTATAGTTTCTGTTTCTTCCGTGATATTATCACTTTGTTCATACATTGTTTTCCTAATTTCTTTGTCCATGATTTATTTTAGCTCATTGAGCATTTTTAAGAGAGTTGATTTAATGTCTTTGACTAGTAATTCCAATGTCTGGGCTTCTTCATGGATGGTTTCTGTCAAATTCTTTTTTTCCTGTGAATGGGCCTTTCTTTTCTGTTTTTTTTTTTGTGTGTGTGTTTTGTAATTTTTTGTGATAATCTGTCTAAGTATTATAATGTGGTAGCTCTGTATATCTGATTCTCCTATGCTTTATGGATTACTGTTATTACTTGATGAAGGTTAGATTTGTCTGTTCAGTGACTTTTCCAAATTAGTTTTGCAAAATGTATATTCCAATTATGTGTGATCACTGACGTTTCCCTTTAGTTATCTCTACAGCCAGCCAATGGCCCACAAAAGATCAGTAGTCTCTACCTTCATCAGGTACTCCCCTGGTTGTTATAAGTGTCTGATCAGATTCCAGAGTTCCAAAATTATTGATTCCAATTGCTCTTTCTAGTTCAATTGTTGCTTTGGTGGAGGCACCAACCTCTAAAAGTTCTTATCCCACTATTTTGACATTTTACTGATATAAATTTCCCTCTTAGTATCACTTTTGTTGCATCCCATACATTTTGGTATATTGAGTTTTTGTTTTCATTCGTCTCAAGGTATTTTCTGATTTCTCTTCTGCAGACTGGAAGTAAACACACAGAAAGCCATGGACATACCACTCAACACAATTGAATTTATCTATCTGTCCTTCATTGATCCCATCTACTTACCTTCCCAAACAGAATAAGCAACTCTCATGAATCTCGTATTTAGCATGCCCTTAATTTAAAAAAACTTTTTATCACATATGTATGCTTCCCTGAACAGTAAGTTTAAATACAGGCAGTCTCTGACTTACAGTGGGTTTCCATTCCAATAACTCTGTCATAAGTTGGTTCTGATGAAAGTTGAATACCTTTTTTTTTTTAAGTTTTCATTATCATTATCTTTTATTATCAGTATCTTTATAAATATGACCTTTATTTGTCTTTGGCGGTTGGAAACAGTACCTATAAACTTTCAGGTATATTTTGATACATACATACATTAAAAATACACAGATCAGGGCTTCTGGGCAACATGGGGCTCTAGGCAGAAGCACCATGACATCCCTCCAGAGCGAATATCCAAAAAACTAAGCCAAACAGAGAAAACAGCAATCCTGAAACCCTAAGCATCAAATGAAAAGGTAAAGAACTCAGCCAGACACCAAATGGACAAAGAAACTGAGAGAGAACAGAGAGCGAAGAGAGATACATGCAGAGGTCCCCTATCAGCTAAGGCAGCACGGATCTACCATCTTGGACTCCTATCAGAGGCCAGTGAACAAGGGGTATCAGAAAGCAGCTTCAAGGAGCTTACAGC